GGATCGCTCATAAAGAATGGGATACTTTTGTTTCTTTTTTTTGAACAGTGCAGACATAGTTGAAAGACTTCGTTCTTAGTTCATTCAATAGAGAATTTTTCGCTCTACAAAATCGTGTTTTTTATTTAATAAACATATTCATATGATAAACTATCTTGTAATGCGATTGGGAATATTTCATCAATGTAATGTTAATAGTCGATTGTACCTTTCTCAACAATAATAGGACGCGTGATGCCATTGTAACACGCTCCTAACCATGTCATGACACTAAGAGTAAAATTTTATTTTCTGATTAATTTCTCCATTTGCATTAGTTTGTTTATGATTCGAAGCACATATCCTGTTGTTTTGGCGAAGGTGTACTCCACTAACATTAAATCGTTTTCGTTAGAAAATGAAGTTTACCTGAATAAAAATGTTGTGACATTTTTTTTTTCTAGGCTATGTGCCAAAAAAGAATCTTTTTTTGCTTTTATGTATTCGTTAACTTTGAAGCAATACGTTTTATATATGATTTGAAACTCAAATCATTTTTAATTATTCTTTGCATAGTTGATATTGAGACATCATGTATTCTATCCAATTGTCTTGTCAATTTTTTCTTTTTTGTAGCGTAGAGAAGATGGTGATTCACTCGATGAATCAATCTTTTTGTTCGATTTCGATTTGTACTTATTTTCAAATGTATTGCACCTATTCTTTGAACATTTTGATCTATCTATAACAGAAATATCCATGGCGATACTGTTGCGATGGAGTCAACGGCAGTTTCTTTTTTAAGGGAGATTGTAAAATTGCATGAATTTGTATCGGACTTGAGTGTCTACAAGTCCAACAGTAAGAACCGTGATGAATCTGATAAATCTAATCTAACTGTAATAATTTAGCACAGTGATGGCAGAGTTTTTCGAAAACTATTGTGACAGCGGCAATTTCCAACCTTGATGAACATCTCTGATCCGCAGACTGTTGATTTCACCAGCAAGTTGTTTCGAAACCTGTCGACCACTTAATCCTTGCTCATGTAATCATAGTACAACATTGTACATGTCTTTATTTTTCATGGTTTTGTAGAGCGGAAAATTTTCTTTCGAATGAGTTAAGAATGAAGTCTTAGAATTATCTTAGCACTACTCAAGAGAAGTATCCTACTCTTTATGAGTCACTTGTTATTTGAAATAGATTTGTCATGAAGCTCTTTCATATGAAACTATTTGCTTTCCTACAAACTCAAATCAATCAAATGAACTACAGCACTTAACAGCGTAATTCTTCCTTAAAATCTTCTTATATTCATTTCTTTTTTTTCTCAATAGGAATCATCTATCTTTTAATCAAAATCCTACGAATACTTCTTCATCTATTCATGAAACATCTGAAAGTCAAAATTCACTATCGGTTACCAATAGTGAAACAATATCGAATACTTCCACAACAAGAACAACAAGTAATAAAGAAATGAATCAATCAATAAAATATACTCAAACTATTAATAAAATTAAACAAATATTAAATACTCTACAAAAAAATTTACTTCATAAATCATGTTCTAAAACTAAAAATCTAAATAAAAAAATTCATGTATGTTTACCATCAAAACAAATAACTTCACTTAATTTTAATCAAACTTCAAATAAAATTAATAAATCAATAACAACTGATTCATTAATATCAAATACAAGTATTCAAACAACATATTCTGTTACATCAACATTACCAATTTCAAATAAAACTATATTTCAATTACCTTATGATCAATCAACAATTAATCTGGAAAATGAAATTTTACAAATGGATTTAGATTCTCTCAATTTAAATAAAACTAAAGTTCTTAATTCTGCAAAAAATATCAATACAAATCAACAAACAAGTGATGATGATGATGATGAAACAGAACAATTTTTAAACAATACTCGATCACGATCAAAAAAAGTAATATTATCCTTAAAAAAAAAAGACAGAAGCTCTTTTTTTATATTCTAAATTATCATAAATATATCATTTAGTCTATATCTCGTCGTGTTACTGTTAAATATATGTCGCCATCATTTATGTTTGTTTTACAAATATTACTTATTTTATGTCTTATTAATCGAATAATAATGTATTCTTTTTTTGGTATTGTATCAAATGATACTTTGACTTCAATTATTGTTGATAAATCACAATCTGTAACATCGATTTCGTCTTCATTGGTTAGTAAAACCGAACAAACAACATTATCAACAAATCATGAAAAATTCAATAATTTCTTATCGTCACTTTTTAAATTAATTTAATCATTATAAAAAAAATTTTCTATTTTATTTATATAAATTAATTAAGATAATCTATGGAACGAAAATCTTACTATAAAATATTTACTCATTTTTTTACTCTTTCCAAATATGTGTTCAGATTTTCCTTCAGAGGTAAAATTGGACAACAATCATCAGATTATTTCAAAAGATCCGAAATAATGAAACAATAGAAACTTCAGTTTTGAAGTCTGCTATTTTCATGTTGGGTATACAGTTGGGTGGTTCTGATTCGGTTCCAAAAATATCGTGTGGAATCAAAACCATCAAATCATCAGATAAATATGAAACTTTTAAATCAACATTGAGAAGTTTTCATTATTGAATTGTTGAGATTAAAGACACCACATATTTGAGTGCTTAAACAAAGCTATATTATACATGTATACTAAAGTCTTTGATCTCAAGAATGAAAAAATGAAGATTTCTCGACGTAGATTTAAGAATTTTTGTATCCATCTGATGTTATATAACGGTTCCGATTCGATCCTTGGTTTCAATTTTTTTGGAACCATCGAAGTCTACTCAAGCTATACTGAATACTACTTTAGTCAATTTTGTATCTCGATTAAAACCTATCAAATTCAAAATGAACAACAGTTTTTAACGACTCAGCTTTGTTTTCTCTACCAAGCGTGCTATGTTTCTATCTCATCTTGCATGACAGATTTTAAACTCTCGTATTTTTAAAAGTAATTTTTTGATCAATGCTGATTATCATCGAAAGTAGATCTTTAGTAGAAGCGTGTAGATGAGGTTTCGCTTATTGTAATACTTTATTTAATACAGGATTCAATGCTCTATAATAAAGTTGAGATGAAATTATTCCAAGACACAAACGAAGGACTGCGCCAAAGCCGTTAATTTGCTTTGCACATACAGTGTATTGGACTTTTTCATAAAATCTACTAATAGTTATTCAGTCTTATCTGAGAAGAAAAATCTGAACATATATTTGGAAATAGCGAAAAATTTCGATTCTGACTCTCTCCAGTCAGTTGTCTTTTAGTGACCGACAAATGAACGAATATTTTGTGCCAAGACTTTCGTGCTATGGGCTATGTTCGAGTTTCGCATTGATGATTAAGCGAAACCAATGAAATTCAGAGTCTGAATTTGAAAATTATATGATCTCATTTTGTAAATTATAACTATTAATTACAAAGTTCCTAACAATTATGTGTATAGTTCATCTTGAACAATTTCTCATTTACAATAAAAGCAATGGCATTGTATTTCATCCATTTTTACTAAAAAGTTTTTCCATTAGATTAATTTGGACAACTGAACTTCTTATGAATAATAATCAAAAATAAATTTAAACATACCATAAATTATTCAAAATTTCATTGAATCTTGATATCTGTCAGCATTTCTTAAAAAATAGGAAAAGTGAAATGAAACTATATGAATATTGAAAAATCCAGCTTTACCTTAAAATTGATTCTTCTATTTCATGTGATTTAATATACATCAATGAATAGGATATAATGTACAGTAAGTGGTAATTACATATCCAAATCGTGCTAAAATGTTGAATTATAAAAGAAACTACTTAGTTAGCAACCGTCATCGATCAATGAAAGACACGTATAGATAGGTTACGATTAAATAACCATTTAAATTTTACTTCTAGATGTCGCTTAACAACAATTAAAGTCGAACTTTTTTTTTCATGCATTTGACATTTGCACACCTCAAGATGTGTTCATAGAACATGATTTTCTTTCTATAGGCAAGCACTTGAGTTATGTGCATAATTAAAGCAATTCATGAGCTGAACTTATGAATATCATAAAAGTGAGAATACTTGAAACGATCAACTAGAACAAAACAATAACAGTTGTTCAGCTCAGGATGAAAGAATACTACTTACCATGGAAGATGTCTGGATTTCATTACTAATTTCAATTTTCTTTTTGTTTGTCTGTTATATCCTTTGTTATTTAAGCTGTGAATTTTTATTAAAAATCGAATCGTTTTGAAATATAAAACTAAAAAGCACGTATCCACAAGGTACTAGGTACAAACCTCAGTACCACTAGCCATGGAATGATCCTGGACAGCTCACTGACGGTTATTTGTCTCGGATCACCCGTCCAATGGTATGCTGACTACGTTGTGACTAGTTAGTGTGTATGAGGAGCTCAAGAATTCCACGTCAAGTTGGCCTTCTGACCAGAGCTACAGCTAGTCATATTTGGAGGAAAGATATCGTGCTATTGAATCTGCCACTATACAGCACTCCATATCTCAAAGTAGCTGAAAGGCAAGGATATTCTTCATTCCATCGTTGGGACAGATGACAATATCCAATGACGTATTATTATAGATAGTTTGTGATCAGAACAGACTTATGCTGTTGAACTGTACAGTCTGTACTCTGTTTCATGCAGAATTTCATTTGTGATCACCTGTACACGTACTCGAATAAGAACTCAAGCGCTTGAAATCATCAAGAGGCTTCAAGATATCTCTATAGCAGATGATTTCCTTACCTAAATTACTCAAGTTCTTCATGCACATAAAAAAAATTTGACTCGGGCTCCTTCAATATATATAAAAGTTTTAACTTCAAAAAGAAAAATCGATCTAGTTTAAATAAGCTCATATATATTTATATATATATATATAACAAATAGAAAAGAAAGCTTAACAATATCATTTCTTTTGATAGTCAAAAAAAAAAGAAAATTGAAACTATTTCCAAATTGCTAGTTCTTTTTTTCTAATAATAGTATGAATTTGTTCTTGATTATCTACTCCACATACACGTTTAATCCATGTCAAATATGTATTATTATCATATAATGATGATAATCTTAATGAACCTTTTTTACATGATAATCGAAAACTAATTAATTTTGGTAATGAACATAAGAAATGTTCTGTTATTAATACAGTAGATCGATTTATTGTTCGATTTGATTGAACATGAAGCCAAAAATGTTCAAGATTTGGAAAAAATTTAAATAATAGTTTAATATCATCTAAACAAATAAGTCCATCAGCACCATTATTATATACACAAAGTTCTTTAAATCGTGGAAAAGAATCTATTTTTAAACGTTTACATAAATAAATAAGATCTCCATACATTATTGTCAGTGTACGAAGACGAGGTGCAAGTATAGTATTATTCGCAAGATACATAAAAAAAGGAATATTTACTTTACATTTTGTCGATCGAATATAACGTAAAATAGCTAAATTAGATAATCGCAATTGTTGATTATTCTCAAGAAATTCATCTTCTGTTTGATCATATACATTAATTGAAGTAATATCAAGCACTTGAATATTAGGAAAACGTTTAATAACATTTAACCAATCATTAATTGATGTTAATTCATGACGACCATCGAAGCAAACTGTATTTACTTTTCGTGCTTGTTGTTGAAATAATTCCATATTTGTTGCTTTAGCATCACTTGCACGTGGTGATGTCATTACACCTGTTGTATTATCAAAATCATATGGTATTGTATCAATAAATAATACTCGAGTATCAGCATAACAACAAACTTCTATACCATTTTTTATAAATGTTTCTAAATATGGTGTGACATCGATCGGTACTGATTCCCATCCAATCCAAATTTTAAGTCCCATATCTAATCGAGATAATTTTGGCAAGTTAGATAATAATTCTTTCCATCGATAACCTTGACTATATAGTATATCATCGGTTTCTATCTCTAATGAAAGACGTTCAATTGTTGGCATATTTATTAATATATTATATAAATCATCAAATATAAGTAAACGTTTATCTTTAATCCATAAATGAAAATCTTTCATATATTTTGGCATCATATCAACAGTTGCATATTGTTTTGGTACATCAACAGAAAATATATTGACTTCAATATGTAATTTTACAAGATTAGGTGCACGTCTTAATATTAATATTAAATCATCTAATGTAGCTACACTAATTATAAGTTTTTCAAGCCATTGACACATCATTACAGCGACATCATGTTGTAATATAATACCTTCTTCAGCACCGTATAACCTCAATTCTTTTATTGTATTTGACGTACAAAATAAATATTGATCAAGTAAAATTCTTGTTGATTGTAGTAAAGGTATTTGTGAATCAATATCAATCATTAGTCTTTCAATTGAAAGAATTTTTGGAAGTATATCCACATCTTGATTACTAAAATTAATCAACCATAATTGTTTAAGAGAAGGTAAAAAGTCGTGAAGAGAATTATATTTAGCAATTGATTTATTGAACAGAGAAATTTCTCCTGGTGAATACCATGTATTTAATGTTAATTTAACAATATATTCTGCATTATATGGTAATAAATGAAAACAACATCGTTGAAATTGCTTTAAAGTTAGATATTGAAGGTTAATATCAGATCGAAATTGTCTTATAGTTCGTTCTAAACGATTATTTAATTGTCCAAATGCATTAATAACATCTATTGCATTTAAATAAATACAAATTTCAATTAATATTTCATCCGGTAAATCTTCAAGTTTTGATAAAAACATATTGAGTTTTTTTTTCTTTTGAGTATGCTTACCATTGATTATTGATGGGTATTTTGTTTTTTTTTCTTATCCCGCACACGCTCAAACCTTCTTCCTTTATTTATATGACTAACTCGTAAATGAATGATTTACAGGTAAAAACGAAGAACGAGGAAAAATACGAAAAAATGTATGTCATCATATTACATAAGACATTGAAAGACATCGTTCAGCAGTCTAATACAAAAATGATGTCGAAAAAAAAACAAAAACCATGTCTTTTTAATTTTCTATTAATTAATGCATGACATTCTTCAAATGAATAATAATCAATGGAAAAATATTTTTCATACTTCAAGAGTAATCATTGGCTTAATGAAAATTAACGAAACGTAATGATTCATGACGGATACAAGGTAATACAGCTTGATGATAATAATCACCATATGCATATATTATATAATAGTCGATTATATGTTTGATATCTTAAGAAGATTATTTCCTTGAATATCGTTTCATAGTCTATCATCATTTTTTCAAGGATGTAATATAAGAAAAAAAAATGACATACTTATGACTAACAAAAAACTTTTATAACTTTTTCATTTATAACGTATTTTTATTTTTATTTCTTATGTAAAGAATATATTTAGTATTTTAATTCAATTTGATACTTTTTCATAGAGATTGAAAGTGTTAAACTTTAATAAAAAGAATTTTACAATTCTTTGTGTGTATTTAGACACAGGAGTGAAAACAAATAGGCTTTTTCCTGTCAAATGTAGCTCTAGTGTCTATAGTATAAAAAATGTCTAAGTCAAACTACGCCGAGTATTCATAATGTTAAGCATGAAAAAATTCTATTAGTTGTCTCATGGCTTATTTTTATATGAAAATATGAACTGTCGAGAATTTCTCATGAATGTTTTCTGATGGAAAAATGACTCTTAGTTTTTTAGATATGAATAAAAGCTTTAGATTTATGGGTTAATAGTTTGTTTGAACAATTTCTTGAAAATGAGAAAAAGATTATTTTTTTTTTATTGCTATATTTTGTCTATTTGCTGATGCATTATACATGAAAAGAATGTCAAGGTCTTGAGCCGTTTTCTAATTTTTCCGTGTTGTATAATAAATAGGATTTATTGAAAAAGCAAGTGACATTTTTTTCGACAAGTTATAATGCAAAGGACATGAATTCCTTCTTTTAACTAATAAACATAAATTAAAATTCGTGTTTAAATAATATAAATCATACATTTAGGTGACATATTTCTTATTAAGCCCTCCCTCTCCCTCAAAAAGCGATCTTAGAGTAGATACATTCAAATTGAATGAAATTTTCACCATATGTTAGGATTGTAGTGACGAAGCTATGCTAAGATTTTCAGACTTGTATCATGATGTTTTCAGGATGTATTCAACAAACAAGAGTAAAAGATGATTCAATTAGCAATTCAAAATTCTCTGTGAACCTTCATTCTATATATTCAGTTATTTTTTTAATTGAAAGAGCATGTCAGACTGTAGTGCTTGAAGAAGTACTTTGTTTTTAAATTCTTACTTTTTATGCAGAGAAACAGAAGGACAAGATGAATACCTTGAAAAACTCTCAAAAAATGGCCATCTAATTATACAAGTGCTTCTTTTATATGATAGTGCAACAGATTAATTAAAGGAAAAAAGGGTTCTAACAGGCACTACAATTTTACATGCTCTTTTTCTAGCAAAAAATAGCAATTGGCTACGTTGAAGCTCCTTCGAGAGTTCTGGAATGTGCGATTAGAAAAGCATAAACAGAGAACAAATGAATAAAAACTATCATGGATAAACTAGACGTACTTTTCATAGATCTCTTTGAACTTCTGGTATAAACTTAAATATTATTTTACAAAATTATGTCTTACAGAAAAGACTGGCTAAGCATGAATTGATTCAATTTAAAATTCAATAAAATTCTTTGTGAATAGTTTTCATTATCACTTTTATCACATAATCATAATAATTGAAAAAAAAAGAAACAGAAAATAATATCATCAAGTAGCAACTTTTTGTCGAAATTCATTTTTCAATCTTTCAGTAATTATTTTCGTAGCTTCTTATTAGTAAGCAGTTTTCTGGATAATGTTATTTCTATAGTCATCATTATTTCATTACGAACATTTTGAGAAACATCATATATATTTTATTTAATCAGTTGCTTCGATTTTTCAACTATTTTAATTTCTTATCGATTTACTTTCCTATTTACTCTTACAAAGCTGTAATATGAATCTGACACAAAACTGAGCATTTTTCATGTAAAATGCGTATGACTATAATAGTTCAATGAACACTTATCTCGTTAATGTGTATGTCAGCGTCCAAACTGAGATTACATCCAATCTCAGGTTGGTCTAGGCGAATGTGAGATTCGAGATTGGACTAGGCGAATGTCGGCATGAAAGATTTGCACGGCCAATGTCAGAATGAATTGTGAACTTCGTGAATTCCTTGCGATATAAAGAGGATACTTCGTTTCATACAATCTAACGAGTAAAAGGTGAATTGGAAGAGCTGTGAAGAAAAATTCAGCTAAGATCACTGTAAAAAACAGTAATATAAGATTAAGATTTTACGTTTTGCTTCAACGTGTTGTTTTCATCACTATAAGTGTTAACTTATTGGCACCTAATGTCCCATCGACATCAAAAATAATTGTTGAAATTGACAATGGAATTGTTGATGAAAGTGATACTATCATTAGTAATGACGACAAGGAAGTTGTCAATAATGACGACGACTGTTCCAATGAAGAAAAGACATTCTATTTCAAAGTCAATGAGTACCGAGCCGGATTGAAATATCTAGAAAAAACAATGTTTTCATTGGAGTATTATCATAGGATTATTCTTGCTTTAAAGCATACGGAAGGTTACAAGAGTAGTGGTATTGACGTCAAATTTCATGGGTGGTGTAAACATCATTTCAAAATTGACAATACTTTTTGATGTTCAAACATTGTGCTTAACTAAGGCCGTTAGATGAATTGGTTTTGTGCAGTCATATTACAGAATTTTGAAGGATGTTCATGAAAAACTGGTCATGGATCTCGGGATAAAATAAGACATGAAGTTGGTCAACATTACTGATTGATCAGAATAAAACTTTCAGGCATTATCTTTGACATCGAGTACAGAGTAATGCGTATTTATTCCGAGATTGGCCATGCAAATCTTTCATTCCGACATTCGCCTAGTCCAATCTAAGATTCGCCTAACTATTTCAGTCCAATCCTAGAATGGACACGTGTTTTATATTTTATTCGAGAATGGTCTGAATCAGAGGTCGAAAACGAACCGATCCGAACCGAACTATAACGGTTCGGTTCGGTTCGAATCGATCCGAACCGAACTCGAACCGAATTTTTGGAAATAAAGTCGAACCGAACCGAACCCGAACTGACTTTTAAAAAATGGAGTCGAACCGAACCGAACTCGAACCACTTTTTCAAAAATGAAGACGAACCGAACCGAACCTGAAGTTTTGAAAAAAGAACAGTTGATGACAGTTTAATGTTAGATCACCATAAAGTAATTAAACTATCATTGATTTAGAAAAGTATAATGCCGTGGACAAAGATAAAAACGAACATTTATCGATTGTTTTACGTGGTTAATTTAATATCCGTATATTGCAGTCTCTTTTTTTCTCTCAGTTTTATAGTTACACAAATTGTGTTTATGATGATAAATCGCTTCTACGTGCCATAACTATTTGATTTTTCTTTTATAAATTTCTCCATTGTTCTAAAGTGCGATGAATAATCGTCCGTAATGGTATGAGATTAATATTAGCACTAAAGCATCTATGATTCTTGTATATCAATGTTAACATATAATTTTAATCTACAAATGTATCTATTAGTAGTAATTGATACGAATATGAACCCTCGTGTGACATTTTTGATCATCGGACCACTAAGTTTTGACTTCTGGTCTAGTCTTGATTAAATGATAGTAATACTACTCCAGTCGAGCCGCAACCGAACTGATTTTTTTAAAGACGAGCCGAACCGAACCGAACTCGAACCACTTGCTCGAAAAGTAGATCGAACCGAACCGAACCCGAACTCGTTTTTGAAAAATGAATCCGAACCGAACCGAACTCGAACCGTGTTTTCAATAATAAGCTCGAACCGAACCGAACTCGAACCTATTTTTCAAATGTGAATCCGAACCGAACCGAACCCGATCTAGAAAAACTCGGTTCGATTCGACCTCTGGTCTGAATACAAGTCCGTCCAATGTTGGACCTGAGTATAGGCGTGTCCAATCTCGGATCTCACATTCGCCTAGACCAACCTGAGATTGGATGTAATCTCAGTTTGGATACTAACATATACTTCGATGAAAGAAATAAAACAGTGTGGATGAACAGAAGAAAGTAAAACTAAGAGTTCTTGAAACAACACTTTTGGATTACTTTGATAAGAGAAATTAGACTTGCTATCAACAAGTTTTATCAGAGAAAAATGGCATATTTAGAAAAAATTTTCTTATCCAGTGAAGACCGAATCAGTTACAACTCTGCTATATAGAGTGTCTCGTTTCTTTATGAATATTCTACAGCACCAAACATAAATGTTTTTTTCTATTCGTTAGACAATTATAAACTTCTTCCCGCAATAGGAGACTTCGAGTCTTCTATTGTGTCCAAGCATATAAAGTGTTCGGAGAAATGATCTGTAATTTTCTTCCATTTATTTTCACAATTTTTAATTAAAAGATTTTGCCGCTTTGCAAATAGATATTTCAGATTTTACAAGCCCATAATATTTTTAAATCTTTATATGAACAAATTTTCAAAATTTAAAATTTTACTTTAATTAAGGAAACATTTTTTCATATTATTATTGAATAATTTTCTTTTCTTTAAATTTCAGTATTAAGTTTAGTTTTGAACAGAACGACTTTTATTAATAATTAACAAGAAAGTTTACTAGAAATTTATTTTATTTCCAAACAGACAACATTTTTTTATTTATTATCACATGAATTTGTTCATGGTTATTAAGATTACATATTTGTTTAATCCAAGCATTACATGTTTCATTATCCATTAATGATGATAATTTAAGTGAACCTTTATTACATGAAATTCGAAAACTAATTAATTTTGGTGAAGAACGTAGAATCATTTCAGTAATTGATTGAATATGTCTATTCATAAGTCTACTCGATTGATTATTAAAAACAAAATGATATAAACACGGAAATGTTTTTAATAATAAATTGATATCTTTTAAAGTCACATGACCATCAGCTTCACCACCATATAACCAAAGTTCATTTATTCGTTCAAGACTAAAACCAGATAAGCGTTTACATAAATAAATAAAATCTCCATACATCATTGATAATGCTTTTAGTTGTGGACTAACTATCGTATTATTTGCAAGAAATTTGAAAAAAGGAATATGTACTTTACAACTTGTTGATCGAATGTAATGTAAATAACTGAGATGTGGTAATCGAATATTTTTATTATTATTTTCAATAGAATTATTTTCGTCTTCGAGTATATTTACTGCATTGACTTGAAGTATTTCAATTTCTGAAAAACGACTAATAACACATAACCAATCATCTATTGATGTTGAATCATGTTGTCCATCTACTATAAGTGTTTGAACACGTCTAGGCCGTTGTTGAAATAATTCTATATTTGTTGTTTTAGCTAATTTTGCATTCGGTGATATTGTCACACTCATATTTGTCTTAAATTGTGTCATATCATATGGTATAGTATCGATATGTAATACTTTACTATCAGCATAACAACATATTGGTAAATTAGCTGGTTGAAATGATTCTAAAATAGAATCTATATCAACAGGTTTCATATCTGATGTTAAAGAAATTCGTATTTTAAAATAAGTATGTGTTAAATTCCATAAACTTGATAACAAATTATGCCAATTATATCCATCAGCATAATTGAGATCATTTGTATCTAGATCTAATGAAAGAAGTTCAATTGTTGGCATATTACTAACAAGTTTATCTAAATCTTCATATGATAATACATATTGATCAGTTGTTTGAAAATGAAAAAATTTTATATATTTTGGTAACATTTCTAAAGTAGCATTTTGTCGTAATTCTTTTGTATTATATTGCACTACTTCAGCATTGAAATGAATTAAATTTGGTGAACGTCTAAACATTAAAATAAGATCATCTAATAAAGCAACACTAATTGTTAATCGTTCGAGATGAAAATTTTCTATAATATTTATATTATGTTGTAATCGAATACCATTTTCAACACCCCATAAACGTATTTCTTTAAAATGATTAAATGAACAAAAAAGATATTTATCAAGTAATATATGTGTTGAATATGATAATGTTATTAATGCATCCGCATCAATAAAAATTTTTTCAATCATATCAAGTTTTGATAAAATTTCAATATCATCATTTGTAAAATCAATTAATCGAAGTTGTTTTATATTTGGAAATAATTCATGAAGAGAATTATAATTTCTTGTTAATTGATTAAAATAATAAATTTGTCCGGGAGAATTCCAATTGCTTACAACTAAATTTATAATTGATTCAGCTGTATATGATAAAAGATGATTTGACCATCGTTGAAATTGACTAAAAGTTAAATGATGAAGATCTGCATCACGTCGATATTGACTTATAGTTCGTTCTAAACGACTATTTAATTGTCCAAAGCTATTAATAATATCAAATGGTTTTAAATAAATACAAATTTCAAGTAAAATTTCATCAGGTAATTGCTCTAATTTCGACAAATACATTTTGCATTACGAAAAACAATCGATTATGTGATACCTTTTATTTTTCTTATACGACCCCATTTTTTTTCTTTTTAATATGACGTGTCTTTTTCTTTTTTTCGTCAGTATTAAACAGAAAAGAAACCTTGATGACGACAAAAAAAAGTAATAACAAAAGAATTGTGATAACATCAAAATATTATTTACCGATATTACGGTAGATCTATTTCTTAGAACAGAGAAGAAAATATGTGAAGATAAAAGAATTTTTATTTTAATTTCGTAGAAATTCATTCGAATAGAAGAATGAAAAGATAAATAACTGTTATGACGCACAGAATTTCAAGTAAAGAAAACATACATTATTTGTTTATTACAAATGAATCATAGTTTAATTTCGAACATGATTAACATGCAAAAACATGTGTTTATTTTGATGATTCTTTGAGGTATGTTCAGATTTCCAAAAAAGAAAATTACCCACATTTCTGAAATTTCCATGAGCTCGATAACTATATAGCAGTGCAAATCAAAAGTTTTTAGACATATTGGAAATTTCCTTTTTAGGAAGTCTGAGCACTGCTGTTAATAATGTATGCTTAGACGATTAATTTTTCAATACAATTTTGAATTTATACAAGAATTTTTAATAGATCATTATTTAAATAGGAAGTCTTTTTTTTCACTTATAGTTGATTTTAATGGAATTAAATATTCATCTAGTTTATTATGATCATGAGTTATTGCATTTAGTCTAAGAAAAAATAGATCAATTAATTTAATTTAACAAATCAAAAAAACAAATATTTATTCATCATTTCTTATCACATCCTTTTTTTGTTCTTCAAATAAAATGATTTATTTAAAATATTTTATTGAGAAAATAAATTTTCTTGTGCAAGCCTATTAAATATTATGTTTAAATTAATTATAACAATAAGCCAATGATATGCTTGGTTTTCCTGTGTATCCGTCCGTACTAAAATTTTGTTGGTTCGAAACTCTCTACAATTCATCAATGTTTAAATTTTATGTATTATATATTTAATTGGATTAATTGAATTAGAATGTAAATTGAGAGCACAAACAACTCTACTCAATAGAAGTATAATCCTACAAATCGACTCGGCTCGCTATCAGACTTTTTTCGAGTTCATTTTTCCTCACGTAATCTACTACTATCTACGTACTTTTGTACAATTGGTCGAAAAACTCGAACCAATCGTGAAAGATCTATTACAACCTACGTAGATTATTCTATCAAAATATTTGAAAATAACTGCAAACTTTCTGGACCTATTGTTTCAGAAAATACAAAGAAACTATAAAAATGTCATCCTATCCTTTCATAAACACGTTCAAAAATGTGATCCAATAATTGTTGATCTTTTTTTGTCCCGGCTAATAGAATTATTCTATGATGAAAATAAAAACATGATTTTCATCAATAAGAAACAAAGGTCAACAATCCTATCATCGCTCCTAAATCATACAATATTAGTGACCATTTTTTGAGGCTTTTATAAAAGAATGTAACAGTGTTGTTATATTTTCATAGTAAACTTAGAAGTCACAACACCTGAAATTTTACAATTCTATAGTATCATGTTCATAAAACAATCTTCCTTAATTTCAAAAATCGTTTGTAGAAATGTTCAGCTTCTCCCGAATAGCCATATTTAAACGAAATAGCTAATTTAATATAAGTAAATGAATCAAACTTTTTGGTTTGAGCACAATTGAAGGATTCTAGAATGTAAAAACATATGACCACTTTTATAATCTAAAAATAAGCAACTCAAGAAAAAAAGAAGTGCTCGCTTTAGTGAATACAATGATGTACGGAGATGTTTCAACAAATTTTCTATAAACACACACACATTCGGATTTATAAATGTTAATAAAATGAAGAGATGAGAAATAATAAAACAAGAATGATGTTAGGAGAGCAATTGCACACTAATCTAGTCTAGTTTAGGTGTTTTTTGTTAGTTTTTTAATTAGACTAGAATATATTTCAATGCCATCCAGTTTTTTTTAGAAGTTTATCTTCATTAAGAACTGTTTTCCAATCAAGTTCAAAATATTTTTTATCATAACCTTCAATTAAATCCCACTCTTCATTTTTTTCACTTAATGTTCGTGATGTTTTTGGAAGAATACCAATAACTTGTTTATATGGTATTACTTTTAAACTAGTTGGTCGTGATGGATCATCATGTGAAATAATACCTATAAATAAAAATAAAAATAAAAATATGATTTGTCTAGATAAAAAATAAGTACAATACCTAATTTACGAAGAAATTCAACGGATTGATCACTATTAAATGTGATATCTGTATTTGTTTTTGAACGAATCCAGTTTTCTATCTCTAGTTCAAGATTTTTATTTGTTAAAGTCATATTTTGTCTTTGTTTCCAGAGTATGAACATATAGACAAGAAGACTAGAAGAAAACGAAATCATCAATAAGTTACGTTAATTGAATTAGGAAAATTTTGTAAGTTTAAAATCAAGTGAAATATGTTGAAAACATACTTTTACACTACAGAAATCTTTGGCTAATTTATACATTAATTTATATCGGTATATAGATTATGACAATTAATTAAAAAGCTTTTTCTTGGATAAACGTATCATCAAATATTTTAGAATTGTGACAATGCTTTTGATAACGTTACTTCCAATGTTATCTATTCCGGTTTCTTTTTTTTTTAACAATAAATGAATCTATAAACATGAAATTAAGATTCAGACAAAGAGAAGCAACAAAGTTGTTGCAAGATCTTTATCGATCTATGAAATCTAGTATTTAATTCAAACTCTTCATAATAAGACTACTTTTAAAAATAATTCAATTCTATCTTTTAACATAGTATCATCATAATTATTTTACTTACACTTCTTTACTTAATTCATCTTCAGCACGATCAATAATCATAGCTAATAATTGTTTATTCGATGCAATATTTTTATAAAATAATAATTGACTCATATGTGATAAATAATTTATTTTTGATCGATGATAATTTCTTAATGATAAAAGACCAAATAATAATGTTAAACTACTTCCTCCAATAACTAATCCTGGAACTTGATAATTTGCCATTGTTGTTATTAAATGTGTTACAAATGTACCAGCACCAATAAGAAATGTTAAACGAATAAGTTGTTGTTCAAAATTTCCCATTTGTAATTTTCCAACAGGTAATAATTGTGTTAAATTTTGTAATGGTATATCTCGAAATGCTTTAAGATATAGACGATCTTGTCCTTTAAGACGTACGGCTAAAATAACACGTTTAAAATAATCTCTTGATATACTTTGATTATTTTTTTTAAAAAATCTTTTCCACCAAGGTTTAGCTTCAATTAACATTTGTTCACGACCAAGTATCCAAAATTTTAAAACATCATAATCATAACCATCAATTTTAACATTAATATGTGATGATAATAATGAATCTTCATGATGAATAAATTTATCGAGAAGAACATTTCGTGGTAATTCAGTAAAATTAGCTCGATGAAGTAAATCATTTATTTTTTGTAATAACCAATATTCATTATCTAAACGATCACGATATGATATACGACGACCATCAATTGTTTCATTATCAGGATTTAATGGATTAAATAAATATTTTAATTCATTTAATATTGGATAATAATGCTGAACAACAGCACTATCAAAACCATGACATAATTCATGAAATAAAACACGATCTTCTTTATCATCAGTTAAATTAGAATCAGTTGCAATTAAACGAATTAATGATGGGCGTGTTAACTGTAAAAAAAAAAAGAAAATGAAATTAACTGTTTGATGAATGATTGTTGAAAGAATAAATTTCATACCGGAATAAAATGTTCACGTGTTGTAGCAATATCAACTGGTTTTGAACGTGTTTTTGATGAAGGAAAAAATGGTAAACCAGAACGAATACCTCGAAGAAAAGCAGTAAAACCTGATGATGGAATTTGTTCATCTTTTCTTAAATATTCTTCATTAGTTGTTGGTGGTACATTTGGTGTAATTGTTATACCTGGTGCAAGAGGTGTAATTGGTATACCTGGTGCAAGAGGTGTATTTG